GATTTGTCTATTTGTTTGACTGATTTCCTGAGAGATCTACATAATTTTGAGGACATTGTCGGTATGTGTGTGTATCAGGGGAGCATTCCTATACAATGAGCATCATCATCATCATCTCTTATCCGCCTCTCCCAAGGCTTGAGATAAGGTAGAACATAGAATTGAAATACCATACATAACTAAAACATATAAAACCACGTACATATAAACAAAACACATACAAGATTAAAACACAAACCATTATGTATTAAAGCCATCCATATTTATTAAAATGTCAATTTAAAATTCATAGTTTAAAATGCACTAGGTAGGCCTGCCTGTTGCCAGAAGGATGGCAATGTAAATGTGTTATTTTATTTTATACATTGATGATTTATTGCATTTTATGTGTTGTTTGGCACCATTGCGTGTTAATTTGTAAGTTGCCCTTAGTCCCTATGGGAGATGGTGGTGGGGTATAAATAAAGTATTATTATTATGGCAAGGAGGGGGCCGTTCTGGCTTCCCTGGGTAGGGAGTTACAGCGTCAAGGGGCAGCCACCGAGAAGGCCCGCTCTCTTGTTCCCACCAACCAAGCTTGAGATGGAGGTGGGACCGAGAAAAGGGCCTCTCCTGAAGATACCAGGGCCCAAGCAGGTTCATACAAGGGGATGTGGCCAGCCAAATAACCTGGACCTGAACTGTCTGGGACTGTAAACATCATAACCAGCACTTTGAATTGTGCCCGGAAACAGAGTAGCAGTCAGTGGAGCTGCTGAAACAGGGGGTTGTATGCTCCCTGTAGCTTAATAACCCACACTTTGGACTTTGTCAAAAACTAATTGGCAGCCAGTGGAGTGATTCTAATATTGGTGTGATGTGCACATTGCTGGATGAACCTGCAACTAATTCAACTTCCTTACAAATACACCTTTTTTATTCTTATCTCATCCAGAGTTTTATCATTTTATGTTCTACATTTGGCCCGCCCATTGTGTTTGATTTTTTCACTTTGTTATTTTGCACTGTTTTATTTTATGTTTTACTTATTTTATTGTGATGTTATTTTTTGTCGTTCTGTATTTTTTTGCTGTAATGTATTACCGGGCTTGGCCTCATGTAAGCCACCCCGAGTTCTCTTTGGGGAGATGGTGGTAGGGTATAAATAAAGATGATGATGATGATGATGATTATTATTATTATTATTACCTGCCATTATTTTGAAGCTTCCAAACTTAGGACAGAAGTAGTCCAATCTACAGCACACACAGAAGGTCAACCTTGAGATTACCAGCATGTGCTGTTGTCTTCTTTGACAGGCTAGTGAATGTAATAGCACTCAATATTTTTCCTCTCTGTGTGTGCATGCTTCCAAAAAGGTACATTACTTCACAAAATATAAAGTCACTAGTCTTTCACAGAGATACCTGTACAAAATACAGACTCCACTCCCACCCCCCCACCCCCACGCATACATTTGCTGTTTCAGTCTTGCACTGAAAGTAAGATCTTGCCAAGAAGCCAATAAATTCTGGATAGATTGTCTGTCTGGGCTAAGATGGACCTTTCTCATCCAAAGTCTTGCCAATGGCAAGTTTTTTTCCATATCCCTAGAAACTGGCAGATTTTTTTAAAAAAAATCTTTTCAATTTTCTGTCTACAAAGAATGCGTTTTTCATATACTAAACCAGCTTAAAGTAAAATGTTCAGTCCTGGCCCCTCTTGTTTGGGATCAGTTGAAACATTATGTTTTTCTAACACAGGTGTTAATATCCACATTGTTTGACCGTAACATATGGTAAATTGAGATAAGTTTTCCTTGGCAGAGAGATCCCGTTTTTACCTCATCATTAATGTGGAAAACAGATGGAAGGACAAACACAGTAGGAGAAATCCCTGAAGGGATCAGGCAGGACTATAAAAAGTTACTGTTACTGACTGAGCTACATGGTCACACCAGATATTTTAATATCACCAGACTACTTGAAGGATAAAAGGAAATTTGGAAGGATAGAAGAATGAGACAAAACAAGCCATGGGGAATTCTAAAAGTAAAGCTAATTCCAAATACCCCAAATATTTGTATATTAGTTGACTTCATGTGTAACCTGAGGGTAGGTTTTGGAGTCAAAATTATGGATTTTGATGTGATCCATAGATAACTTAAAAGTAATTCTTGGGAGAGGGGAAAGTGCCCAGACATTCTAAATGGCCTTTTATCATTCAACTTGGAGAGAGAAATTGATTCCTTTTTTGATAAAATGTAATGTATAATATTAACTCTTATAAAAAAAAAGGTAACCAACTTCTGAGTAGGGTGGTGAAAGGTGAGAGCTTTATCTGGGAGAACCTAAAAGGAGCAACAACTTCCTCTATTCAAGTGGTTCTCAACCTGGGGTCCCCAGATGTTTTTAGCCCTCAACTCCCAGAAATCCTAACAGCTGGTAAACTGGCAAAGATTTCTGGGAGTTGTAGGCCAAAAACATCTGGGGACCCCAGGTTGAGAACCACTGCTCTATTCTCTATACTGTGGTGCCATATCTGGCCATTTTGATTGCCTCATTGGTACTTCCCTTCTCACTTCCCTTCTCTTAAAAAAAGTGCATTAAGAAACGTTTCTCAACTCTGGGGAGATCGTGAGGGCGATGTCAGAAGGGTCACCAAGACCATCAGAAAACACAGTATTTTCTGTTGGTCATAGGGGTTCTGTGAGGGAAGTCTGGCCAATTATATCATTGGTGTTCAGAATGCTCTTTGATCGTAGATGAACTATAAATCCCAGCAACAACAACTCCCAAATGTCAAAGTCTATTTTCCCCAAATTCCACAAATATTTACATTTGGGCATATTGAGTACTTGTGCCAAGTTTGGTCCAAATAATCATTGTTTGAGTCCACAGTGCTCTCTGGATGTAGGTGTACCATAACTTCCAAACTCAAGGTCAATGCCCACCAAACCCTTCCAGTATTTTCTGCTGGTCATGGGAGTTCTGTGTGCCAAGTTTGGTTCAATTCTATTGGTGGAGTTCAGAATGCTCTTTGATTGTAGGTGAACTATAAATCCCAGCAACTACAACTCCCAAATGACAAAATCAACCCCCCCCCCCCCAACTCCACCAGTATTCAAATTTGGGTATATTGGGTATTTGTGCCAAATTTGGTCCAGTGAATGAAAAAACATCCTGCATATCAGATATTTACATTACAATTCATAACAGTAGCAAAATTACAATTATGAAGTAGCAATGAAAATAATTTTTGGTTGAGGGTCACCACAACATGAGGAACTGTATTAAGGGGTCACAGCTTTAGGAAAGTTGGGAACCACTGGCATAGAGGATAGAGGGGGTTGATGCTTCTTATAGATTATCCCAGAACTGACTAAGCTCTTGCCTTTCACCAATCTACTTAGAGAAGCGGATAATTCCCTTTTTTATAAGAGTTAATATACATTAACTTACATTTACCTGTGGATAAGTCAACCAAGATAATTTGTTTCTTTACTAAATTTTTAATTTTTTAAGTGAGTATATATGTAAGTTTTTGTTATAGGATGTACTTCTTTTCTTTAGGAATGGCTAATAATAGAGCTTGATAATTTCATCTTTGCATCCTCCTATCTGAGGAGCTTTTCAAGTACCTTGCTGAACATAAAGGATCCATAATAGCAATGAATTTTATACCAGAAGCTAAGGAATTCATCACACTGTGGGGATTCCCTAGCCTTCGTGGTGAATCCGTGAGGCAATCCTATTGCATCTCATCGCACACAATAATCCTTCCCCATCACACGTGGGGAAGCATCACCGCATGGCTTTCCTCCACGCTTGCCCCGTTGCTGCCTCCCATGTTCTGGGCAGTGCATCCTAGGATGCTTGCAGTATGGTTTATCTATGGAGACCTGCCAGAAGTGGTTGTATGTTGTGTGATGAGCAGTCTGGGCCTCTGTAGATGAAGTGTACTGCATGCATCCTGGATCGCTTGCGAAGACCCGTGTGATGAAGTCATAAGTTCCATTTATTATACAAAGACTTGTTGCTAGATAAGTAGGTATAGGATATTAATTTAAGGTACTTCTAGAAACTGAGGTTTTAGTGCTTCTAATCAAAAGACATTTCTTCCTCCTCTCCTTCTTTTGTGGAAAAAAGGCAGAGCCAGCAGTGGGAAAACAGGGGAGGATTATACATCTATATACATAAAAATGTAATGTTCGTTTGTGGGATTAATAGAACTCAAAAACCACTGGACGAATTGACACCAAATTTGGACACAAGACACCTAACAACCCAATGTATGTCCTTCACTCAAAAAATTGATTTTGTCATTTGGGAGTTGTAGTTGCTGGGATTTATAGTTCACCTATAATCAAAGAGCATTCTGAACTCCACCAATGATGGAATTGAACCAAACTTGGCACACAGGACTCCCATGACCAACAGAAACACTAGAAGGGTTTAGTGGGCATTGACATTGAGTTTGAGAGTTGTAGTACACCTACATCCTGAGAGCACTGTGGACTCAAACAATGATGGATCTGGACCAAACTTGGCACGAATATTCCATATGCCCAACTAGGAACACAGATGTAGTTTAGGGGGAATAGACTTATACATTTGGGAGTTGTAGTTATTGGGATTTATAGTTCACCTACAATCAAAGAGCATTCTGAACCCCACAAACGATAGAATTGGGGCAAACTTCCCAGAACCCCTATGACCAATAGAAAATACTTAAGGCCATCCAGTCCAACTCCCTTCACCAGGGCAAGAAAATGTAATCAAATACAGTTTACCCACAAGCTTAAAGAAATTACATATATTAGAAACCAACACTTTCTCATTACTTTATTTTCCAGATCACCAGACTGGGCCACAGCAACGCGTGGCAGGGGACGGCTAGTGGAAAACAAAAAAAGTAGTCTGGATCCCATCTAAAGTTCCGTGAATAAAGCACTGTAATCACACAAAATAGCCTAACAGTTTGACTCCTGAAGTTAGTTGTCTACATGATTTCCTACTTACCTGAGTCCAAAGCATGTGCTCATGCTTACTGCAGATATGGCATAATCCTGTACATGACCATGATAGTAGCAGTGATTCTAATAAGTAAACAGATAAAAAGGAAAAATCAATCCTTATATGCTATTTGTATATATCTCTTAGAAACAGATATATATTGTATATATCTCTTAGAAACAGTACCTCTATTTCCATACATGTACATAAAAAGATATTGTGGAGACAGGGCCCAAGTCTAGATACACATTTCATTGATTTGTATACATCTATTACACGTAGCCTGGAGATAATTGTTTAGACAATTGGAGTAATTTGGTACATGAAACAAAGTTTGTGTACACTGAATCACTAGAAAACAAAGGTGTCACTATCTCAACATATTTCAGATTTTGGAGCGTTTCAAATTTTGGAATTTTGGATAAGGCATGCTCAATTCATGTTCCTTCAAAAATAAAAAATCTTCCCTGAAATTAAGGTATTGCAGAATTATTGTGCTGAGAAATCTTTGAGGGAAGGTGTGAAGCTCCTCAGGGTTTGGTGCTCGATTTAAACAAGTTCACTATGTACTTCATTCAATAAAGAACAAAGATCACATCAATATTAAAACATCATGTCAACCCTGCCTTTTTTATGATGTGATTGGAAAAAACCTATAAGGTGAAGTATTGTGTAAAATTAAGCAGCAAAGATTTTACTGCCATTCACTCTAAGGCTTTAGCTGTACATGCAACTTGTTTGCAGTAATATGAAGCAGATCTATAAGACATAATTAAGAAAACTGTGTTTTTGAAGTAATAAAGCTATTTACCAGCTTTATAGCTTCAGAGAGAAACAGAACGTGAGAATACGGGTGGGGAGAGCAAGACCATTTTATTAAATTGGGCTAACTCGGAAGTAGAATGTTATTAAGAACAGGAATGCTGGAGATTTCTAATTTCAGAAGCAATCGTTCCATTTCATTTTGTAAGTGGGTTATTGCATTTCTTTAATAAATCCAGCTGCTTACAAAGGCAACTACAACAAAAGATACATAGTCAATAAAATTACACATTTGTCTGGAATTCAAGGTTATTGCTGATGAAAGACAAAACTATATTCTTAATTATGGGCTAGGCTGAAAAATAATGTTTAAGTCATGTCCTGCATTTTCTCCTTTCTTTTCTTCTGCTTTCTTTGAATGTCACATGGAAAGCACAAAAACCATTGTCAAAGGTTACTATCTTATTAGCGCAAAGGAAAGCTATCACTCATATTTCAACCTGACAGCCATCTCACTCTGCCTCTTATTCCTTGGTTCATTCACATCTAAGGTGCATTAATTAACCTTTCCAAAACCAGGGCATGGTTTTCAATTACACAGTTTCAGACAGCAGACTTCTAAAGACCACCTTGATTTTGTTGGAGAATGCAATAGCGTGAAAAGATCACGGTTGAGCTTTCATAGTTCACGGGTTTGAATTCTTGGCAAATTGGATTATACCATAAAGAAAATATTAGTTGAAGATACGAGTATTTCTCAGTTTTATTTATTTTGTGTCAAAAGGCAACTGAGTGTGAAAAATAAAAATCTTATCATCTCTTTGCAGTACACATCCCTGCATAAAAAGAAATGAAATGATTCCCCCCCACCCCCACCCCCCAAAGTTCATTCTGGATTATCTGTTTGATCTGCACCAGTATCAAAAGGACACAAGAAATAATGTCCTAAATCAGAGTGAAAAATGTGTAGATTTAGATCATTTTGATTTATGTCAATTTAAAAAATATATAAGGAAAGAAAGGTATGACAAAGAGGTTAAACAAGGTGAGCATGCCTTATCCAGAATTCTGAAATATGAAATATAAAATCTGTAACTGTTGACATGAGAGGCTGAGATACTGACACCTTTGCTTTCTGATGATTTAATAACAATAACAACAACAATAATAAAAATAATAATACTTTATTTATATTCGGCCCTATCTTCTCAGGGGGACTCAGGGCGAATTCCAACATATAACGGCAATGCCTCCTTAGAACAAACAAGTACCGACATAATAATCCCAGAAAAAACCCACATATGAAAACAACATTAAAACCTAACATCAATAAATTAAACCAAACGTAATCAAACAAAAATTATATAATGACATAAAATCTGATCATAAGCATCCACATTGATTTACAGAAGCCAACTATCATTCACAAAGTTGTGTGGGTTGGTTGTGTGGCCAGTGATGGTAACTAGGCTAAACATGGACTAACATAGCCCGGATATAAAATAGTTCTCAACCAAAGGTTGGGTAGTGATCTCTCATTGTCTAATCCTCCTTCTCTCTGTATGCTAGTGAGCAAAAGTAAGTCTTCAGTTGTGTTTCGAAGGAGAGGAGGGAGGAGGCAACATTATTTCTTTAGGGAGAAAGTTCCAGAGGTAAGGGGAGCAGCCACGGAGAAGGTCCTCTCTCTTGTTCCCACCAGCCGTACTTGAGGTGGGAGTGGGTCCGAGAGTATGGCCTCCTCCACTGACCACAGTGCCGGGGCTAGTTTGTAAGATGAGATGCAATCGGTCAAGTAGCCTGGACACAAACCTTGCTTCAAACACAATATTATTAAACATATTGTATAAAATTACCTTCACACTATGAATATGAAATGTATATGAAAGATACATTATTTTTTTCTTTAGACCTGGTTGCTATATCGAAGATATCTCACTATTCATGTACTTACAAATACAGATGTCCTAAAACCTGGGAAAAAAAATCTGAAACCCAAAACACTTATGGTTCCAAGCATTTTAGATAAGGGATACTCAACCTTTACATCAAAAATATTCCCTTCCATCTCTGTTACTGCAGAAGTGGTAAGGTGGGAAAAACCAATATGAGCCACAAAAAAGAGAAGCATGTGGTGACAAACAGTCCCACCTTTAACTTAACAATTATTCTAGAGCTTGTCAGTGACAACTAGAACTTGGAAAATATTTTTAATGTATATGTATTTATTTTTACTATTGTACGCATGTGAACATTTTAGAAATAGATAAAACTAAGACTGTTTGATTGATTTTACCAGGCCAAGGGACCACAAAGCAATGCAAACAATGAGTTGAAGGACAGGTCAGACATAATGAATCATGGAAGGGGCCAACTAGGCATCCCTATTAATGTCTCAACCAAAGTGATTGGGTCATAGATCCTTGGAAGTATGCAGAGCCACTGAATCTATAGGGCCTTGCATCATCAATCAGATGATTAATCTTTAATGACAGGCAATTTTCTATGCAAAGTATTTGTTTTGTAGGTCCCATGTCCTGATTTAGTGACACAGAGACCTTAAGTGGTACATAAATAGTCTCAATAGCCCTCAAACAAGCACAATGAAGAAAGAGGTCCCTGAGGCACAACCTGAATAAAAGAGTGTTGTTCATCCTAAATATCCACCCTGCATGTGTTATCCATCTAGCGCACAATATGTCAATCGCCTTTGGCAGTACTTGCTTTGATCCATGGGGAAAAATAGCAGAGAGAGGGTGGAATTTGATTCAGGAAAGGAGTGGGAATAAACGGGTGAGCTGCCCTTCCCAACCTCATAGACTTGATCCAAACTAGGACCTTGGAAGTGGCAATTAGCTTTAAGAAGTAGTCAAAAATTATATAATTTCTACCAACATTTTAGATAATTACACCCTCCAAAGGTCTCACAGCCCATATCACCTTAAAATGTGTTAATCAGTCAGGAACCTCTTGAAGAAACTATAGAGACAAGTCACACTACTGTTTTGTGACTGTAGTCATGCAGTGGTAGAATTATCTAAGGCCATAAGCAGATCTCTCTCATCATTTGCAAACAAAGGGTATGTTTGGCTACAATGCTACTTAATGATTTAGAGAACATGCCTTGATAACGAAGTTTCTAAAAGCAGGAATGAGCCCTTTTTATCCTCATGCCTCCCAAAGTCATTTAAACCAGGAAGGACATGGTTATTTTATTTATTATTTATTGTGTGGGCTGATCTCCACATTTGGTGCCACGGTGGGGTACAAATTAGCCCCTGGGTCCACTGAAGTTACATATACCTATTTGAAATAAACACCAGCCATGCAAGATGCAAGCAGATGCATTGCCATCAAAAAATATTCTTTCAAATAATCTTTAATGCTGGTGTTATTTTATTTTGTTTTAAAATGTTATTTTGATCACTTTAAATCTATGGTGAGTTCAATACTGTTTTAGTCCTTTTGAATATATTTTAACCATACGTGTTTTTCCGACAATTTTCTGTCTTCTAAGGTAAAGGTTTCCCCTTGACATTAAGTCTAATCCAGTGAAAATCATGAAATATTTGAAAGAAACTGGAAGCTGGCCTTAGCATGCTTGAAGGAGATTTAAAGAAATAAAGAAATAAAAACAAGAGGAATTTATTGAGCTAGAAGTAGAGAGGGTTAAAGAAAATATGTATAAACTCTATGTGGATCAGTGACGGAAGCCAAGGTGGTGGGTAGCACTGGGGGTGGGTTGAGGAGGCTTAATTGTACTGTGAGTGGCAGGTTCTCTATGTATGTGTATGTGTATATGTCTGCAATGTATATGGTTGGTGTATTTTTTTAATTAAAAATTTATGAATTTTTTTTTAAAAAAATAAAAGGCTAGTTGAGTCCAGCTCTGGGGGTTGGTGCTCATCTCCATTTCTAAGCTGAAGAGCAGGCGTTGTGTGTAGATGCCTCCAAGGTCATGTGGGCATGACTGCATGGATTGATGTTATCTTCCCGCCAAAGTGGTACCTATTGATCTACTCCCATTTGCATGGTTTTGAACTGCTCGGTTGGCAGACGCTGGGCCTAACAGCGGGAGCTCAACCCACTCCCCAGATTCAAACTGCTGATCTTTCGGTAGGCAAGTTCAGCAGCTCAGTGGTTTAACCCACTGTGCCATCGGCGGCTCCTAAGTTGCCTTAAGTCCCATTCTGGGAAGGTGGTTTATAACTCAAGTGTTGGATATTTGGGCAACATTTTCCCCATTATGCCTACCAGAGTTACAGAATAATTGCTTACAAAGTTCACCCTCAGATTTAAGATGATGATTGGAAGCCATGACTCTGCAAATGTTAATTTAAAAGCATGCACACCAAAAACTCCACTATAAGATGACAGTCCAAACAGAACTCCATTTGATTCTATCTACAGGGCCTATTATTGGAAGACAAGAAAAAGCATTCTGCTTCCTCTGGTACATCAAACAGATAAATGTTAAGATCGCAAGGCCAGTTAAGCTGGATATAATCAACAGATAAAAGATAAATGTAATAATTAAATTCAGCTACTGTGCTGTTTTAATTAAGAAGCTTTACTTACAGATGGAAGAAGCAAATGCCATGGCTTCAAAGAAGCCTGGTATATTTATCAAAGGAAAGTCTGAGTTCCATGTGAGGATTCTACTCATCATTTTAACAAATATGAGCTAAGACAGGGATCTTTTGTCCCACAAGCTCTTCTCCCTTGTCACTACCAATAATATATTTCTCAAGGTCTGATTCAGTGGAAACTGACAAAGAATCAAAGGGGGACACCTGGTTTCTGCATTTTGAAGACTGCAAGGACCTTGTCGCAATTGCTTTTTGAGAGCTTGCACATTTCAGAAACTGGCTTTCACGTCTTATCTCTGCGACAATAGCTGCTGTTAAAAACTCTAATGGGTACATTTTCCAAAGAGCCTTAAGTGCACAAATATTCTATCCATTAACCCCCATTCCACCTGTCATACATTACTTTGAGCATTTCTTCCCACAGATGTGCATTTTGAACAAAACGACCAGCCTAAACGGTGATCTAAAAATCAAGAAGAGACTAACCATTTTATTTGCACAGTTCTCTTGTGCTTTTCAGGATTATATGCCCCACTGTTCCCCCCCACCTCCCAGCAGAAGTGACAAATCTTACCGTGTAATTGCGCATGAGAACGGCACCTGTACCATCTTCCAAATAATGTGTTTCTGTGAAATTTCCAGCAAAAAGGCCACTGGGGAAAGAATTGAAAGGATATCTTAAGGCATAATTTCAAAGCCATGTTATTAGAATTCAGTTTACTTTTTACAAAATGAAAGAGCAGAACAGAAGGATTAAAAGTGTCTGTGAGCACTTGTAAGCAACAGAATTAACTATTGTTTCAAGACTGCTAAAGAAATATCCAAGCAAAAATGGATGAGTAGCTGGTATGTATTTCAAAAGGCAGCTTTTAAAAAAGAAATGCAACATTTGCTTGTTTGTTCATGTAATGATGTTTAACTCACACTGTATTTTATTGATACCCCCATCAAACATTCCAGTTAAATCAGATTTGACTACTTTATGCTTCTATGACTAGTAGGCAAACATTTGAGATGCTGATATAGCATACAAAATTAAGAAAAATACTGATGACCAGGGAAATGTTTACAGAGTATGATTCCCACTGTACCTAAAATTCACAGATATCCTGGTTAAAGATGTCCAGTGAACTTGTAACCACATGCCCCAGCAAAGGTTGACATGATATCATGGATGAGGTAGAACTCAGAGAAATTACTTCTTATACTACACTTCCACAAACCCCCAAATTCCTGACTGTGTAGAGATTGCCTGTAGACAAGTCCATGGCATCGTTTCCCTTCCATATCATTGGGAGCACAGAACAGTAAGCTCCCCCCCCCCCCAAAAGCACAAAAACTCCATGGCACAAAAGCAAGAGGGACCTGATATTAGGTCCTCCTCTGCTTTTTGTAAGCAGCCTCTTTCCCTTGTTAAGAGTGTGCATGTGGTGCCGTGTAGGCCCAGAAAGCGCATGAGGCTACCTGCAGCAAAGAAACAGAACTTGCCTCCTTGCCTTGGAAAGTGTGTGTGTGTGTATGTGTGTGGCATGCTGTCTCAGAAAGCATGCCTGCCTGCAGCCGAGTGCCTCCTCTAGAGTAAGAAACAGAACTTGCCTCCTTGTCTTGGAAAGAGTACGTGTCTGGCATGAAGGCCCAGGAGAGAAAACGTGTGCGCCTGCCTGTTACCAAACACCTCTCCTCTAGAGCAGAGAAACAGGTAAGAAACCTCCTTAAAGCACCTTCCTGCCTGTAGCTTAGTGCCTTGCCTCTAGAGTAGAAACAGCTTAAATGCCTAAAATCATGGGAAGGGGAGACTGGGAAGCTCTCCTCCCCTTAATGAGCCAACAGAAAACAGATCTTTCGGCACCCCAAAGCAAAAACAGATATTTGCCCTACAGATTTCAGGAGGGTCCCAAAAACAGATTGGGGCCCCCATCAAAAGCCAGGACACAAAACAGATAAGGGTTTACCCGGATTACACAAGCCTAATTGTGTGCTCAGTTTTATTGCAGTTTGAAGAGGTAGACAACATGCTTGGAGAGATATAACAAACCAATTATATTTTTGATCCCTCTCCTGACTTGCTTTCTGTACGTTAATCCAAAGGGAGCTGGATGGTTCAGTGGGGAAAGATCACTGGTTCTTGAAGATGTAAAACAGTGCAGCCCATTTTTATGCAGGTGTGGGATTGAGTCCACTTTACCTATCAGTGTTGAAGGGACCGCAGAACTCCTTTTCTAATAATGAGTGATTCATATTGAAGATAAGGTCCAACATTTCATTTTTTAACTTTTGGGTTTTACCTTCAATATCAATTATTACTGATGATTATCAATGATCACTCCAAAATAAATACATGCTGAAGAACAGTGGATACATCTTTGAATTTTTATAATACCCAGGAAAGGATACTGCCCCATAATAATAATTTTTAAAATCCTGCTTTAAGATCTTGGCACTAGAATGATTGACAATGGCAACTATCACTACTACTACTTCTATTATTGATAAAACCTGGAGACACATTTTTCCTCGGAGTCCCCCTGCTACTCTATCCATCAGAAATAACCCCAGGGTGCTGTGTTATTAAATATACCAATTAAAGTTAGTCCCTATGCTCCAGATGTTTGCTACACTTTTCAGCTGCCAGCAAACTTTCCTTAAGGTAGAAATTAGTCTTTTCCACTATTTAGAATTTGTATTTATAGAGAAATCATTGTGCCCCTTAGTCAAACTGGTAGCAAAAAGAACACAGGGACTCTGAGGAGGAATAATTGACTAGCAAATATGTGGGAAGGAAAGAAAGATAGGTTGAAAGAATGGGATTCTGTTCAAGATTCATATTCATGTCAGTGAATATATTCAGGATTGGAGGATACCTAGCAACTCCAAACCCCATTATCATTAACTTTTCCAAGGCATCCTAATGACACACAGTCTGATAATAATCATTTGTAATCTCCACAGTGCAACCTACAGTGATTGGAAAGTGAGTACTTCAGGGTTTATGGAAACCGATACCATTTCAGTATGTGGGATTTAAATAAAATCATTTCTGTAGAACCTTACTTTTTAACATAAAAAGAATGACCTTTATTCTATTCCATTTACTTCTTCCAAGAAAGGAGTAAGAAAGGAGTGAGAAGACTAGGGAGAGGAGGGAACTTGCATAGACTATTGTATTCCTATAATGACTGTGTAAATATGATATACATGAGAAAGCTTTCTATTTTTTCGTTGGGGGAGAAGGACAGCAAACTACCTGAAAAAGAAGATACATATGAAGATGGACAAACAAATACATTCAAGGACACCGGGATTCCCATTCCCAAACATCTGGTGTTCACAATATACAGAATGAAAGTTGAGAAGTGTTCCTACATAAATCATAAACATAACACACTGGGGAGAACTCAGGGTTACTGTAGTCCAGAGGTTCTTAAAGTGTGCTCCATGCAGCTCTTGTGGCTCCGCGAAGCATACTGATGCGCTCCGTGCTTCCCTCCTCCTCCTTCCTCCTCCACTCCTTCCAAGCTTTCTCTACTCTTTCCTGCTCCTACCCTCCCGCACTTCCTTGTCAACAAAAGCCATTTCCCCTCCTCCCTTGTTGCCAAGACCCCTTTCCATGCCTCCCTTGCCACCAAAAGCCACTTCCCCACCTCCCTTGCCATCAAAAGCCTTTCCCTTGCCTCTCTTGCTGGCAAAAGTATTTTTTTTCCTCGTTTCCCTTCCTGACAAAAGCCTTCCTCCGATCTCCCTAAAGCCTTTTTCCTTGCTTCTCTTGCCGCCAAAAGCCTTTCCCCCTCATCTTCTTTGCCTCCCAGATACTTTACCCCTTGTATTTCTTGTTTCCAAAACCCTATTTCCCTTCCACCATTCAGGGGTGCTTTGTGTTTTTTCCTGTATGCGGAAGGGGGGTTAAACTGGATTGCCCCTGGTATTTCTGCTATTGTTGGTGTTGTTATTAGTATTATTATGACAAAGGCTGGATGGCCATCTGTTAGGGGTGCTTTAATTTTGCTTTGACTGCATGGAAGAAGGGGGATGGACTGGATGGATCCTGGGGTTGCTCCTATTTCTATTATAAAACCAGGATGGCCATCTGTTGGGGGGTGCTTTGATTGTGCTTTTCCTGCATAGCAAAAGGAAGATGCACTGGAAGATTCCCGGGGTTGCTCTATTATTATTATTATTATTATTATTATTATTATTATTAACATCAAAGGCTGGATGGCTACTTGTCTGGACTGCTTCAATTATAAGCCTTTCCTGCATGGAAGGAGGAGGTTGGCTGGATGGCCTCTTGGGTCTTCCAGTTAAATATTGTTAAATCTATGTTGGGTAAAATTGTTCTTCATTTTAAATATTATATGGTTCTTTCTCTCTGTTTGTATTTTGCACTACAAATGAGATATGTACAGTGTGCATAGATCTTTTTTCATTTTTTTTTCAATTGGTTCACACAAATACTCTCCATCCATCTGCCACTGCCCCGTCCCATCTGTCAAATCCGAAAAAGCAACACTCCCAAAAAACTTGTCCATGCCTGGTATATAACATATATTATACCTAATATACAAACATATCTGGGGGCTCCACAAAAAAAAATTGCTTCAAAAAGGGCTCAGTGGCTGAAAAAGTTTGAGAACCCCTGCTGTAGACAGATGTACAATTGGTAGACATAACTGTGTTAGTCTGGAACAGCCTTTCTCAAACTCCTCCAAATGTTTTGAACTTGAGCTCCCAGAAATCCTAGCCACCTTACCAACTATTAGGAATTGTGAGAGCTAATGTCCAAAACATCTCGAGGAGCACAGTTTGAGAAACTCTGGCGTGGAAGATCAGTTTGCAAAGGAATCTTGTATTACCTTAGAGACCAAGACACTGACCATTAATGCATTTTTAAACCACAGTAGCTAGGCACTAAATTTCCATGAAAGTGCACAAAAGAAAGGCCTTAATATCCATCAATGCTTTTTGATTTGTTTAATCACTATCAAGTCTGCAAACTGGTTCCAGAATTTCATCTGCACAGTAAAACCCCTTTCTTCAGTGCTAGTTTGGAACTAAGGCTTCTTCTTCACTGCCCTATATCTCAGGATCTAATCCTAGATTATCTACTTATCCCAAATTATCTGGAAGTATAACTCATAGAATCCAGTTCAAAGCAGATAATCTGGGATCTGGTCCTAGGATATAGGGCAGTGTAGTAGGGGCCTTGGTGGTTATAGTAGATGTGCCATAGGACAATCAAGTTAGTAGCATATGTTTTTATGGACTCAGTAGTGTCAAACCGCATTAATTCTACACTGAAGAATTAATGTAGCATGGAGTCCTGGGATTTGGAATTGTAGAGTGGGGGAAACCAGCACTCTTGGCACATAAATCCAAAGATTTCCCAGTTTGATTTTTGGTTTTATTGGCATTTTAATATTATCTGGTAAATGAATGTATTGGCTGATGTGTTTGATGTTTTAAGAAGATTTTACTGTTTTACTGTTTTATTTTATTCTTTGATGTATATGTTGTAAGCATCGTTGATGCATATGTGAGGCTGCTCTGAGCCCCCTTGTGGGGAGAAGGGCAGGATAGAAATGTACGAAATAAATAAATAAATAAGACTTTCCATAACATTGAGCCGTGGTAGTTAATTGCATTAATTTTTGGTTAA